GAGATGTTTATGCCAACCAAAACTGAGGCCTGGTTAGATTCAGAAATGACTCTGAAAGGAGGGACAGCTGCTCAGTGCCAAATAAAACCAGCTTCGTTGTAAGGTAATGAGTTCCCTGTCCCTGGAAGCCCACAAGATGTAGCTTTCGGAGCGCTTCCAGACATGTGCCTCTCTGACTCCGTAATGGGATGCCACCACTCTGTCAAGTTCTGCAGCTTGGAGTCTAGGTGAGAAGCATGGCCAAGAACAATTCTTAGTTTCAGAATCTTCTCCTCGGTCCATCTGAAGCCCCACCTACATGTAGAGGGGTGACACTCACGCAGCATGCACAATCAGGAAAGAATTTGAATCCTGAACTGACTGGGGGTCAGGCAAGCCACGTCATCTCTCTGCACTTGTTTCATATTCCATGGCTGACCCCAAGACTCCCTCCTGTTGTGTTATGAATGTCCAACACCAAGCCTTGGCCTGAGAAAGTGTGCAGGTGGCAAGGCTGGTCCTAATCCACCCATTCATCTTGCAGCCAGCAAGAGGGACAGGAGGTGGAGTGTGTCAGCACACACACTCTCCTATATGTGCATATACCTGGACACATTCCTCTCTCTGCCTCATTGAGAAGCAGCAGACCCAGTTTTCTGTAAGGCTGCATTTGCTACCAGAGACCTATAGTGAAATCTGTGCTATAATATCAGGGCTTCAGGGTGGTGGGGATGGATTCCTCCCTATCTTCTTTCTACTTCTTTTCTTGGTCCTTTCATCCTATTCTGCTAATAGCTCCATGGGGTCAGAAAAGAGATCAACTCAAATTAGTCAATTTGTTTTTTAGTCACTGCTGGGAACGAAGTGGGAGGATGAGGAGGTGGCCACTAATGGATTTTTAAAAAGTCGAGTCAAGGCATTATCAGTACAGGATAAGCATCTGGCTATCTCCTCCCCACCCATCACAGAGAATTGAATGTTAGCTCCTATTCATAGAACATGGCTCCATATCTGGAGTCTCTGTCTTCCAGGTCCCAACTCCTACTCATCCTTCAATGCCCAGTTCATATGGCCCCTCCTCTTGGAGCTGTCCCTGACTTTCCTGGGCAGAGAACACACTCCCTCCTCAATATCTGTTTTAATTGACTCACACTGGCATTCTTGCCTACAATCTGGTCCTCTGAATGGTGATTCATCTGTCTTTGTCACATGATTATGAATTCCTTGAGGTGCCGACCATATCTGATCCGTCTTGATCTTCACAGGCCCAGCACAATGTCTGGCGCAAGGCACGTACTCAGGTATTATCTGTTTAACAAATGCATACTTTCTAAAGATAATACTTTTTTTTGTATTCTGTGAAGAAAAGGTTAGAAGTGGATATTACCCATTCATTTTCTGACTAAAAGAAAATATAACAAGACTTAAATTCCATCATTGCTACTGGACTAGTATAACCTTTTGACACTCACACCCTCCTATTAGAAACAGGGCTGGTGGGCAGTGCCTGTGGCTCAAGGAGTAGGGGGCCAGCCCCATATGCCAGAGGTGACAGGTTCAAACCCAGCCCTGGCCAAAAAAAAAGAAACAGGGCTGGTGTTCTAACCATTTCCCAGCAATCCATGTACGAAGACTGAAGACTGAACCCGAAGCATTGTCAGGATGAACCTTCACGGGGTCCCGTGGTGGGAAGCCCATAAGCCCACCCAACGTCAACAGCCACCTTGTTCAGCCCACCTGAGCAAACAGATTTGATAGCTGAGGAAACTGTGATCTTATAATAATTTGAGGAGACATAAAATAAGCATTTTAAAGAATGGGCTGGGGGAGGCAAATAAAATTAGACCCTTCACTATCTAAAGCTCCAATCTTATCGGGCCGTTCATCTCTGCTTAAAAGGTGTTGCAGCTCTGAGCTGTCCTCAGAATAGACTCCAGCCATAGGGCCTGGCCTGGAAGGCTCCCCCTCTGTAGGAGTCCTCTGCTGTCTCAGACTCGCCTCACCACATTCCACAGCTATGACAAGTGGATGCAAAGGCACACTCCTTGCTTATGCAACCCCTCTGCCTGGATACTCCTAACACCTTTCCTTGAAATGTTCCAGCCACCCAGCTCTTTATCTGCCTGAGTGGAGAACACATGTCCCCAGGGAGCTTCTCTGGTTCCACCACTCAGACTGGATCCCAGCTGCTCCTCTGGGCTCCCTGCACACCCATCCTTACTGAACCCACACTTACTAAGTGTGTCCTGCCCAGTAATTAGTGCATCTCCGGGTGAAGCCATGAATGACTCAATCTAGTCATCACTCATCCCCTAGGCCTAGCACAGGCGCTGACCTATGAGAGGCACTCAGATGTAGCTGAACGAATTGATCCTCCCTCTACCCTGAAGGCAAGACTTGGCAGGAGTCTATTAAGGAAGCAAATCCCAAGGGAATCAGAAAGCATGCCCTGTGGGAGGTCCTAGTAGAAAATGTCTACTCTGGCAAATTGGTTCTACAACGGTCAAACCAGGACTACTGTTTATTTTCACCTCCTTCACCAGTGCAATTCCCCCAAGAAGCCCCAACCCAGCATCAAGCCGTCTGTTCCCAGGGACTGGGGCTGAGGCTCATTCCCCTCCAGGGTCTCAGGCACTGGTGGGCCCAGTGAAGACTGAATGAACGAATGACTAATACTCCACAAGCTAAGGACAACCATCCCTATTTCTACTTAGGAATGCTTCAGGGAAGAGACCTTTAAATGCTTCTAAATGCTCTGGGGGAAAAAGAGGAATGGGTAGAAGAAACTCCAGAAAAGTCAGCCAGCACACAAATGCCTATGTCCTCCCAGGGGCCTCCGGGGTCTGGCACCACCTGCCCACTCCCTTCTGCCTTCTTCTCCCCTCGCCTCCTTCCACAGGCCCCTCTTTCCTTCTGCTCCAATCCCATCAGCCACTTGCGGTTTGGCAAAGCCCAAGCGCAGCCCACCCTGAGAGCCTTCATTCCAGCTCTTCCTTGCAGTCTCGTCACCTCGCTCTGCAGATCCTCCTCCAGTAATGCCTTGCCCAGGAGGCCCCCGGCACCCTATATAAAGCAGCAATGTCCATTTCCCTCACCTCCCCTGCTCTCTGGCCTCTGGCTTGGCTTTCTCTCTCCTCCTCTCTCTGCTTAATTTTCTTTGTCTCCTATTAGTAAGCAATGATGCTCAGGTGTGATCTCATTTATTACTCCTCACCAGCTACAGCATAGAACACTCTGCCCCATCTTACAGGTGGGGACACAGAAGCTCAGGAATTTAAATGATCTAAACAAATCACAGAACATCACCTTCTGCTGCCTGATGTAACATATATACACTTATTA